TCTCACCTACTTTGGTCATGTTGTCAGGAGGGACCATTCCCTGGAGAAGGATGTCATGCTTGGTAGGGTGGAGGGTCGACAAAAGAGGGGAAGGCCTTCAACGAGATGGACTGACATGGTGGTTGCGATGATGGGCTCAAGTATAGCAGGGATCATGGAGCTGGCGCAGGATTGGGCAGTGTTTCGTTCTGCTGTGCATGGGGTCGCTATGAGTTGGAAACGACTCGACGGCACCTAACAACAACATATATGAAATATCTAGAATTTGTCAATGTATAAAGAATAAAGGCCATTATTGGTTTCTGGGTGTGGAAGGGGAGACGAAGCAAAGAGTCATTGATTAGGGGGCACTGAGTTCCTGTTAATGGTGATAAAAAATTTGGAAATGGTTAGTGGTAACAGTTATATAAATGATGAACATACTTAATGTCATTGAATTTTACACATAAAAAATGTTGAAATGGCAAATAGTTAAATATAATAAAAAATTTAAACAAAAAATTTTTTTAAAGTATTAGAAGGAAATTTCTGAAGAAAAATTTAGAGTTAGGTTTCCAAGTATTAAGATTTACCTCTAGAAAGAGAAAGGCACCCTGGTATAGTAATTAAGTGCTTGGCTGCTAACCAAAAGATAGCTGGTTCAAACCTACCAGCTATTCCACAGGATAAAAATCTAGCAGTCTATTTCCATAAAGATTATAGCCTTGGAAACTCCGTGGGGCAGTTCTACTGTCATATAGGATTGCTATGAGTCGGACTCATAAGTTTGGATTTTTCCCGCCCAGAAAAAGAAGTTATAATTAATAAATTCTAGGCGGCACATAACAACAACAACAGGAATATAAAGTTAGAAAGCTTTCTTAATGGGGAAAAACACTTTAAAAAAAAAAACCCACAAGGGTCTGTATAGTAGTCCTGGTTTTACCATTAAAAATATGACTTTCATTAACTTAGTTATATTTTGTCTCAATTTCCCCATCTACAAAACAAACAAATGTTACAAGGCTCCTGGTTAAATCTACGTAATACATGCCATATTATATTATTAAATACTTTATTATTTAAAATTTTATAATGTCACTGAACTTTAAAAAAAAAACTGTTAATGTGGGAAAAACAATATAAAAAAGGAGGGGGAGAATGACTGTACAACTTAAATATAATCAATGTCACTGAACTGTATATATAGGGGTTATTCAACTGGTGTATGTTCTGCTGTGTATATTTGCACAAAAAGAAAATATAATTCTTTAAAAACTTTTTAATTTAAAAATAAGTAAGAGTTGGACTAAATTATTTCTAAGTGCCATTCTGAGTCTGAGATTTTATGACACTATGACTACAAATACACACACACACACACACACATATATATATGATCTATAAGTAAAATATATATTATCTAAAGAAAATCATCCCTCATGTTTTGAGCTTGAATCTGTTTTGGATACTCACATAATTAAGTATAAATAGTATGGTATTATTTTTGATACACTTATTTCCAAGTGTTAACACATTTGTAGATATTTATAAACTTTTAAAAAATGTCATAAAACTTGTATTAATTAACTTGATAAATATGTCACACCATATGTAGGTAACAAAAAAATAAAATAAAATAAACAAACTCACTGCCATTGAGTCAATTCAACTCACAGCAACCATTTGTTGGGCTTCTGAGGGAGTATCTCCACAGAAATAGATTGCCCAATCTTCCTTCCGAGGAGTGGCTGGTGGATTTGAATCGCCAGCCTTCTGGTTAGCAGAATGCTTTAGGTACTATGCCACCAGAGATCCCATATGTAGGTAACATACCTGTAAATTGTTTGTATTTTAAACTCATTCCATTTTTTGATTCCAAAAAGGCTGGTTGACCTAAAAAACACTGAAGTTTTTCCTGGAAAATCTGGGCTGGAGTCAAATTTAATGGTAGATTCATACCTTTCCTCTTGGACCTGAAATCACATCAAATTAAAGGAAATTAATCTAAATTTTGAAAAAAAATGAAAGATGCATATATCAAGAACTAAATATAAGTTTTAAAAAACAAAAGAATTTGTCCCATTTATTCATCATATGGTAGTTAAGGTTGTGTGTCAACTTGGCTAGGCCTGGTTTTGAGTAGCTGAGCATCTGGATGTAGTGATTCCCCATAATGAGACTGGTAATCAACTTCATGGTGGAATCTACTGTGAGCAGACCTTTGAGGAAGGTCTCTAGCTTCTAGGCACATCTGGATCCTATATTTGGCAAATCATCAGTAGCCTGCCATGTTGTTTGCCAATCTTGAGACTGTTTCTGGACTTAAAACTAGTGACTTGCTGAGTTGCTTGATATCTTGGGACTGTGCCATCTTACTTGTCAACCTTGGTTTTGTTAGCCTCAGCAGCCAGCAGCTGTCTGAGTTACAAGAAGGCTCCAACTTCAGTGGGCTGGGAGCAAGAGGCAGAGCTGAAGCCCAAGGTCGAGGGGCCTTTACCCAGCCCTTAGAGGTGGCACTTTCAACTTGGACTTCTAGCATCCTAAACTGTAAGAGAATAAATCCCTGTTTGTGCAAGCCATACATTTGTGGAATTTCTGTTATAGCAACACTAGACAACCACAACATCCTATATTTAAAAGAAGAATCTCAAAGAAAGTTTAGTATCAAGGTCCTCCACAATTATGGTTCTATTTATCTTCTCATTCTTATTTTCCACGATTGACCAAAACACATTATCGATATATAAATTGCCATCACATTTACAGAGCAGTATTCAGAACATATGTCTTTTATCCAAAATGAACCGAAACTTGTTTTTTCCCACCTCTCTGCCTTTGCTCGTGCTTGGGATGTTCTCTTTTCTGATAGACACTCAATTTGTCAAGATCATATCTACCCATCAATGCCCATCTGAAATGATACTTCCTATCCACAGTATTTCTTATCCTTTTCCCCCTTAATAATTATTGTTCTCCCCATTGTATGGAACAGGTAAGGGGAGAGCCCGAGGCAGGAGGCAGGAGCCAGGCCCACAGAAATGGAACAGGTTAGGGGAGAGCTATAGGCAGGAAGCAGGAGCTGAGTGTACAGCTGGAACAGGCAGGGGGAAGGCCAGAAAGTGAGCTGAGTGGTTTGGAACAACTAAGGAAGATAAACTTGTCAGTCACTTTGTTGTACTGTGGTGGATTGCATGTTGTTGTGAGACTAGAGGCTGTGCCACTGCTGTTTCAAACACCAGCAGGATTCCCCCATGGTGGACGGGTTTCAGGGGAGATTCCGGACTGAGACAGACTCAGAAGAAGGAAGAGGCCATCCACTTCTCAAAGAATTGGCCAGTGAAAACCTTATGAATAGCAGTAAAACACTCTCTGATATATTACTGGACAACTTCATGAACAACCCTGAAACACTGTCCAATACAGTGCCAGAAGATGAGTCTCTGAGGTCAGAAGGCACTCAAACTACCACTGGGAAAGAGCTGCCTCATCAGAGTAGAGCTGACCTTAATGATATGGATAAAGTAGAGCTTTAGGGACCTCCATTTGCTGATGCGGCATGACTCAAAATGAGAAGAAACAGCTGCAAATATCCATTAATAATTGGAATATAGAATGTATGAAGTATGAATCTAGGAAAATTTGAAGTTGTCAAAAATGAAATGGAACGCATAAAGATCAATATCCTAGGCATCAGTGAGCAAAAATGGACTGGTTTTGGCCATTCTGAATCAGACAACCATATGATCTACTATGCCGAGAATGACAAATTGAGGAGGAATGACATGGCATTCATCATCACAAAGAATGTTTCAAGATCTATCCTGAAGTACAATGCTGTCAGTGATAGGATAATATCCATGCACCTACAAGGCAAGCCATTTAATACTATTATTATTCAAATTCACACACCAACTACCAAAGCCAAAGGCGAGGAAATTGAACATTATTACCAACTTCTGCAATCTGAAGTTGACCAAACATGCAATTAAGATGTGCTGATTATCACTGGTTATTGGAATACAAAAGTTGGAAACAAAGAAGAATCATTGGTAGTTGGAAAATCTGGCTTTGGTGATAGAAGTAACGATGCAGATTGCATGACAGAATTTTGCAAAACCAACGATTTATTAATTGCAAATACCTTTTTTCAACAACACAAATGGTGGCTATACACATGGACTTCACCTGATGGAGTACACAGGAATCAGACTGACTAAATCTGTGGCAAGAGGCAATGGAAAAGCTTCAGCCAAAACAAGGCCAGGAGCTGGCTGTGGAACAGACCATCAACTGCTCATTCACAAGTTCAACTTGAAGTTGAAGACAATTAAAACAAGTCCTAGAGAGCAAAAATATGACTGTGACAATATCTCTCCTGAATTTAGAGACCATCTAAAGAAAAGATTTGATGCACTGAAGACCAATAACTGAAAACCGAAAAGAGGAATTGTGGGATAACATTGAGAACATCATCCATGAAGAAAGCAAAAGGTCATTAAAAAGACAAGAAAAGAAGAAAAGACAAAAAATGGATGTCAGAAGAGACTCTGAAACTTGCCCTTGAAAAGAGTAGCTAAAGCAAATGGAAGAAATGATAAGATAAAAGAGCTGAACAGTGCTACAAGGATGGATGAAAACTGTGGAGCTGTGGGAGCCACAGACCAGAGTTGGGCCTAATGCTTACATGTATGTGGTCACATAATAAACTGCAGACACTATGTGGAATGTGATGACAACACAGCACAGGACTTGGACAGTTACATCTGATCTTACTGAATTTCTGGAACTTTATAGACACAGACCTTCTTTCTACATAAAGATGAGATACATGTCACAAATAGATCTAGAAATAATACTTATATCAGAGTTGGAGTGATAGGATCTGGTTTCTATTTTAGGATGTATAAATGCAAGATCTTAAAAATGCCTCTATGTTTAATGGGGTAAGAAAAATCCATTTCTTTTTCTTAAAAACAAAGTATTTGAACCTGATATGAAGGGCACAACAAAGGGAGAATCTGGCCTGTTTGCATTGAATGAATTAACCAAATCCTCAGTTGGTCTGCCCAGGAAATTCCACCACAGAGGTGTGCTAAAATTTCTAAGATTGTTTTCTGGCAGTGCTTTATAAAAAGCTGAACTGCCCTGTACATTTTCATCAAAATCATTCCCAAATGCATATGAAATCTACCACAGAATGTAGAACTATTAGATAGTTTTATTTCTAACTCATAAAAATATTTCAAAAGTCATGGGAGTTTTATGAAGGTGGTACTCATCAATTCATATCCTTCCTATTTCAGGGCCCATGAGACACATCTCAAAGCAATTAAGGATGTTAATTTCGAAGCACACTGTGAAATGGTGTACACTTCATTACCAGTGGGTGACAGATTGTTTAAAACCTTACCTTCCTCTGATTTTTTTTTTTTAAT